CCACCACAACTGCCTGCCACTGGTCCTTCAGAAATAAAATTCACTCACCTGGCCTTCATGCAAAAGGGAAATAAATAAATTGCTCCCGCCCATCCAAGTTCTTATTTCACATTATGCGCATTTGCCCGATTGTATGGAAATCTGAGCAGTTCCAGGATGGGGAACTGAAAAGGCATCAAGTCACATTCCTCCTTAGAGGAGGAGCTAGCTTAAGGTAGCTGAAGCCCCAAACCTAAGAGATCCCTAAGAGAGTTAAGAGGTCCCATTGGGAAATGAACACCCCACACATTCTACAGCATTTCAAAGAAAAGATTAAGTTTTACTGCTGATTTGAATACACTGCAACTGAGGCATAAATAAATGGGCTCCACCATCAAATACAAATGAGAGAGTGACATCACAGAAGCAAGAAAGAAGCAGGATCAGTGAAACACCCCCAGTAGAAGTCCCTAATTTAAATTCCATAAATTAACAGTGGAATTAAAACAAGCTTTTCCAACCTGCACTCTCCACAAATATTTTGGACCAACTCCCATAACTCCTGATCAGCACAGCCTGTAGCACCAGATGCAAAAGATGTATGACTAAATTCTTCTGATTCCAACTCATAAGAGGCACACTTTAAGGGGAGGAAATCATCTAAACTGCAATGGTTGTGTTTGCTTTATGCAAACGTCTTCAGATTATGAGAATGATTATAATGTCTTGATTCAGCAGATTTGTCACTGTTGCAGGGACACCTAACTTCCCATATAGCTCCTCCAATTTTCAATAAATTGGAGGAACAATTCCTTAGGCATTCTTCTGTGGGATGTGGGGGGGGGGGGGAATCACTATTCTTTCTATGGCGGTTAATCAGCTGAGTTGTACAGATGGGAATCCTCTTGTGTCTGTGAAGAAAACTTCAGTAACTCCCTGCAATACAGCAAAATTAGCAGTACTGGAATGGCTGTACAGATATGGGACTTTTGTACCTGTCCTTATGAATCCATAGACGTGGAGACATAACTCATGTTTTACTCTCTTGTTAGTTTTATACACAGTTAAAGAAATAGTTTATATCCCTTAATAAATTAAGTCAGTTTGTTTTAACTCTTGTATGTTTTTGGATTGTTTTATTGTGGATTGCTTTTATTCTTGTTTATCTACTGTTTTGTCTTGTGCTTTCATTGTTGTCTGTCTACTGCTCTGGACTTTTGAGAGGAACAGTACTAGTAGTAATAATAACAATAATACCTAGGTAGAGATTGGAACCTGTAGAAGCACTTGATTCAAGAGATCATAAAATGTTATCATAGAGTTAATTAGGTTCCACAGGGTGAAGTTTGACTCCATGGATGACTGCACATCATGATCTGCCTCCCAATTAGAATTTTTCCAAGGAGTTTCCAGTAATTTCTATGGTCCTATCAATCCACTATATCTACTGCTTCCTATTTTATTTCCCTCAGTCTTCCCAAGCGTAATTTTTTTCTAGTACATCATCTACTCTCATCACACACTCAAAGTCTGTGAGTTTCAGTTTGCTGATCCTCAGATTGCCTAATTTGTATAGGTAGCTAAGCAGGTGAGGAAAGTAATGGTCTGGCAGTTCCTGCTATCACCAACTATCTTTACCTGGTGCCCAACCCAAAAACCCAGAGTGTGAGAAGAGAGGATCTCACATCTTCTGTCGCTTTCTTGGTGATTAAAAGGTCAAAATCTCTTGGCCATGTAGAGAAGAGGTATGGTGATGAGACCAACCCTTCCTTTCCCCCTTTGGGACCCAGGTCAATTTCACAAGAAATAAATATATCTAACTTTATTTAAAAAGAAAGAAAAGGTAAAAGATAAAAAGTCCTAGAAATCAAATTTGAAATGAATTTACAATTTTTTTACTAGGCATAATTCCAAAATATATTAATTAAAAAAGTCACAGTTAAGACACACATTCACAACCGTGAAGATAAACTTAGCACACATTGGAAAAGAAATACATTACTAACAATATCAGACTGGGAATTTCAACTTGGAAAATATGAAGTAATGGCAAAAATAACAGCATATATCCACAACAGAAGCTTAACCAAATTTAAGCAAGTGTGGCTCCCATATATACTCTATATTACACAGCAAGCCACAGCAAATATAAATATTTAGAGTGTGGTTTTTAAGAGGAAAAAGAATTGATTAAAGAACTAAGATCAGAAATACATGAACATTTTAAATGTTTGTAAACGTTATATATCAGTAGGAGTACAACAAAGTGGAAGTTAGAAACTAAATATTTAGTTATAATGTTTTAGTAGCTTTTTTTCCCTTTTTTCTTCGTATCTTTAAATAACAAAATAGTGGAGATGTTGGCACTCAGCCCAGAAATTCAAATATTTTCTCCTATTGATAAAATAATTCAATGTACTTTGTTTTTATGGTTAATTTCCTTGTCAACTGAGCACCAAGTGTAAAACCTTGGCAACTCCTTTGTCTTCTTACTGAAATTTCTGCGTCAGTTATTTTTGTATTACCTTTATTTTTTTTTCCTTTTACTTATTCATTCTCTCTTTTTTTCTTCTTCTTTTAAAAATGATCAATACGTTTTAAAAATATAAAAATCCCTTTTAACTTTAAATATGTAGTTATTTTGGAAGAACATAAATTATAGAACTGCCCAGATCATGTCACATAACAGCTCACAAATTAATTTTGAAAGAAAAATCCAAACAAAAATACCATATTCCAGACAGACCACAAGATGACGTGGGCCTGTGACAGTGGAGAACTGTCTGCCATAATCTCTCAAAAAAAACCTAGAGAGGTTTCAAATGATTATCAGATCACAAGAAGATTCCAGAAGAAAAAAGTATATCATCCTGAACATAGCCTGAAGGATGACCAAAGGCTGAAATTATACCTAATTCCCCAATTTTTACAGAAAATAAAGCATCACACAGCAGAAAGAAAACAAAACCCTAAAGCAATGTTTATTTTTTGTGTGTGCCTTCAAGTCAGTCTTGTCTTCTGGTGACTGCCTGGACTAACCCCTGTGATTTTTTTGAGCAAGATTTTCAGAAGTGGGTTGCCCTGGCCGCCTTCTTCCTAGGGCTGAGAGAGAAGGACTGGCCCAAGGTCACCCAGCTGGCTTCATGCTGAAGGCAGAACTAGAACTTCCAGTCTCCTGGTCTCCAGCCTGGTGCCTTTAACCACTACACCAAACTGGCTCTCATGTCTTACCTACTTGTACAGAAATACAAGCTTCTTGAAGGAAGGGTCCTCTGTTTCCTTTCCTAGATTCCTCCAGGTTAATGGAGATTGCAGAGCAGCCGCATCTTCATCGAGGGTAAAACAGGTTGGTCTGAAGAAAGTTATGTCACGCTATTGTGATACAAGCCCTGTCCCCTCTGTACACTTGCACGTGCACATCCCAAAGGGCAGCGCTTGCAGCACGATGCTGCTTTCATCGTTCTGAAATGAGCCTGCAGATATCCATTTTCCAAACTTTAATTAGAGGCTGGCCTCTCATCCACAGAGGTGTGTGGTATTCATTTGTGCCTGGAAGCTGGCACACAGGCTACATTCACCCTGAGGGCTTCCTGGAAGGCCTTAAAGACCTGGCTGTTCTCCCAGGCCTTGGCGTAGGTTGGATGTGTTTGGCATCTACGGCATATAATTTGGTTGCCCGGATTTCCACCTTGTTTATTCGTTTTACTGTATTTTTCTTTACCTTGTTGAGTTTTTCCTTCTTCTGTTTACATTGTGAGCCACCCAGAGTTGATTTGGAGTGAGGCGGCACTGAAGTGGAATGAAATAAATCAGTCAATAAATTCACAACAGCCTACCAAGAGGAAGAGATCCATTTCCCAGTTGAAAGTCAGAATCCATTCTGACCCACCCTTTCTTTAATCAGCTTGCCAAGAGTGGGAAGAGGAATTGCAATGTCACTTTGCTTCTTACTCCCTAAGAAGTAGCGATGTTTGACCTTTGAGCACCAATGTCCTTAATGCAAGAGAAAGGCATATTGTTGGAGTAACCGCTGGGTTCCTTGGTTGCTTTTGGGGAATCCCTAACGCTAAACTCATGAACTGAAAAGATCTGAGTTACTGTATGATCAAATAAGGTTTATGCCAAATACGTTCTTTTAATATTTCCATTTGGACATGACAGCAACTGAATTGTTCCTCTAGAATAGCATTTCTTAAAGTGTGGTCTGAACCCTTGGGGGTCCCCCAAGACCTTCTCAGGGGTCCATGAAATCAAAATTACCTGCCAGATGTTAAAGATGTTTGCAAGAATTTAAAACAATGTCACTCTTCTCATATTTTAAAAAAAATGTTAAAAATGTATAGTTTTTTCATGAAAATATTTATGTTAATGTCTAATGGGCTTAATATTGTTATTTTTACATGATTCAATAAATGAATATTCTATGAATCTGTCAGTTTTAATTTTCAATATGGGAAATACTGATAAATATAACACATACAAACAAAAGCTCTTTTGGGGCCCTCCGTAATTTTTAAAAGCGGGAAGGGGTCCTGAGAGCAAAAGGTTTAAGAAACATAGCTCTGGGGCATTTCAGAACTCATCAGGGACATCATTTATCAGCTCCTTTCCCTGGTGAATTGTAATTAAATTCCACTTTGCCCCCCAGGCCCCATCCCCACAGCAGCCGGGCGGAGCTGTGCTGGAAGGCAGGGGTAGGGCGCCCGGTTGAGGAAGTCTGGGCTCCCAGGGAGGACCCCGATGCTTCCTCTTTCCCGATAAATCTCTTATCACAGCACGGGCGAGAAAGACGATGATGAAATATTTCGGCAAACCCTTCTTGCTGACTTGAAGCCAGGTGAGGCAAGGTAGACGCGAAAGCCCCGCTGCCTTGCCGGCCCTCCTCCCTCCACCCGACGAGGTCTGCGATCAGGCCGAGGTGAGGCCAAGCGCGGAACCGGCGCGGGGGCGGAGCGCTTCAAAAAGGGGCCGCGGGCGAGGAGGGCAGAAGGAGGGAAGCGTCCGGAGGCCGAGAGGCCGGGAAGAAAGCGGAGGCGAGAGGAGGGAGAGCAGCGGCACCAGCCGAAGCGCGCCGGGGAAGAGGGCGGAGAGCTCCTCCGGGCCATGGGCGCTTTTCTCCTCAGCGCAACCTGGCTGGGGGCTCTGCTGCTGCTGCTGCTGGTCCTGCTGCTGGTGGCCTCGCTCGGCGGGAGGAATCGGTGAGTCGAAGGGTCTGGGCAGGTGGGCCCTTGGACCCGCCGCAGGCCAGGAGGACGAAGCATCCTGCCGCTTCTCCCCCGCGTGCGGGAGAAGAGCTGCCCGCGCGCTCAGCCGGCAGAGAGAGCCACCCCTTACGGCGAGGTTAGGTGCGATGGTTCGAGACGGGCGGGTGAATCATTTACGATGTGCGATATGCTTTGAATGGGTAGGGCGCTTATCGTAAGGCAATAGCGTTGCGGAAGGTGATGCCAGACGCGATGGAGGGAGTGATTTGAATTATGAGGTGGAGAAACAGGATCAGAGAAGTTTTTCTCCATCATCAGGCTGGAATTAAAGATCATCCAACCTTACTGATGGGAAAGTCAAAGCTAGGAAAGGAAGGGCAGAAGGACAGGACTTCTTCACATCATTACGTGGGTGATTAATTAGTGGAGTTGTCAAAGCAGCATTGAGGAGACCTCAGTTGATCTCAGAAAACTAAGCTTGCACCTGGTTAGCACTTGGATGGAAGATCCCTCAGAAATGTGGCCCAGGTAGGAAAACTCAAAAAATGAAGCAATGGCAAACTAGCCTTGAAGGAGACTTGACTTTGCCTCTGGTACTGTCACAGGCTGTGCTTGTTACACATACAACCATGCTTAACTGTAGTTTATAAAATAAATCACAATTGGATAGATTCACACAACATGCTAAACCGCAAGTCGTGAGTTACAAATCACAGTGATTGGGTTCCTGCAAAATGCTAAGGCATAAAAAGGCAACAGCATGGTGGGTTAGCTGTGTTGTGTGAACCCAGCTAATAAATCAGATGGCTTTTTATAAGGACATTAGATGAATTTTTAAAGCATGCTGATTTTGATTGCATTATTTCTAGAAACAGAGTCCAAGCCCATCTGCTTTGAATATGAGCTGAAAGGTGCAGCTGTTGGAGAGAGTTTATATTTGTTAGATTCCTGGGACCTCCCAGGATGTTGGACTTAGATATGCCTTTCGGTTGATCCATTAGGCAACTTCTTTCTTCATGTAGTATGTGCCCATTACGCAGAACTCAGATCTTACCTGGTGTGTGTGTGTGTGTGGGGGGGGGGTGTTGGGAGGAGAGTTATAGATTATCTAATAGCAAGATATACTATTTCATGCTGGAGTCCCCAAGTCTGCCCACAAGATTTTCCTTGGCACCCACCAGGGTTCCTACTTTTCCTGATTGGTTGCGGTGGTATTACTGTTCTTGTTCCAACAGGAAAGTTTCCACTCTGTAAAACCAAGTGCCAACTTCGGATGACATGTTTATATCTAAGAATGTTTGTGAATCTTAAGTGAGCAATAAAGGCATGCTTAGAATATGAAGATTTCTTCTGAAAAGCTTGATTTGTGCAACATCAAAAGATTTAACCTAGGCCAGATAAAGCCCTGGCTGCTCTATTAGCATCGCATGTTAACCTTAGTTGGTATTAACCACGGGCAGGAGTTTGTGCTTTAACATGTTATGCAAGCTAAATTCATTTGGTGAGCTTAGAGGTCAATGTATTGTGTGGACTCAGAAAACGGTTAATTCAAGAGTATCAAGAAGCTACAGCTGGTACAGAATGCAGCAGCGTGGGCTGTTATGTGCTCTCCTCAATCAGCACATGTTACATCTCTGCTCTGTGAGCTGAATTGGTTGCCAGTATACTTCCAGGTTCAACTCAAGATACTGGCATGGGGCTGGGTTTTTGAGGGGCCACCTCTCCCCGATTATATCATTAGGTCCAGCAGAAAAGGTACTCTGGGCCCGTCTATTGGGGAGTGCTGTCTGGTGGGGCCCAGGAAGGGAGCTTTTTCTGTCATGGTACCCACCCTTTGAAATATTTCCCCAGAGATTAGACTGGCCCCAACCTTTCAGACCTTCACAAAGCCTTAAACCAGTGTTGTCCAAACTTGGCCACTTTAAGATGAGTGGACTTCAACTCCCAGAATTCTTTATCTTTATCTTTGTAACCTGGTTTTTA